AGCAACAGCTTAATGTAAACTGTTTAACCCTTTCACTCATGTCTTAGGCCCCTGGCCTAGGAGTAAAAGGGTGACAACTTCTTTAAACTTTGTTGTGCATTATCTTTAGTTATCAAAATTCAAATAAGTTAACTAAAAAAAAAAAAAAATACTGATTTCCAGGTAATTGATCTAATGTTAAAAATAATGCTTAGCAGAAACATTTACAGTAAACATAGCTAATTTGCAGTTAGCTGAGAGAGATCACAGAGATAAATTTACAAGTACCCTGTAGTTTCTATTTGCACCTTTTTTTTTTTTCCTTTTTTTTTTTTCCAGATGCAAGCTTTATATTCTTTTTAAGACAGGAAAATTGAGATGATAGAATTATGAATATCTTATTAATATCTACTTTCTGAAAGTCCCTCAGAAACACAAGAAAAATGAACCAGAAGTGGCTGGAGCAACAGAAAGCATTCGTACCAGGGTGTAATCCGAATCATCTCTGTACAGAAACCCATTAAGCATCTCTCTCCAAACCCAATTTATTTTGTCCAATAGTTCAGTCAGTAGTAAGCATGAGATAAAGTGCTACTATTCAAACATCAAAACACTTTGAAAAAAATTACCCTTTAAAATATGTAAGCTTGCTAAATATGGAATAACACAACCAACAAACTGTCAGCCAGCCCGTGAAACCATAGTTCATGCTATAGCAGACCAGAATGATAGACATTTTAGTGGCAATTTTTTTTTTTCCCCAAATGAGGCTACTGGCTCAAAGAAATCAAAAAGTCCAAATTTTTTTAATCTAAAATTTCAGCATTTTTTTAAAAAAAAAATTATCTCAAATTTTTACCATTGAGTTCTCAATGAGCAAAACATGCCAAAGCCAATAGCCAGAGTTTACAGCCTATGCACCAGTTAAAAACTTGTAGCTGTAGAAGCCCTATGAACTCAAAAGATGCACACTCGTGGTAGCAACCAGCACAGAGGTAAAGAGGTAAAATCCAGTGATAACAAACTGGCCTCCTTTGCAGACTGCTAAACCAAAAAAAAAAAAAAAATCAGTTTCAATTTATAACTGCAGTGGGATAACAGAGACTGGAGAGAACAGTTATACAGAAACAAACAAACCATTTTCCCCTTCTAACAGCTTCCCAATCACCACTAATTATAATCCCTGCAATTTCATGCAAGATCCACGTTTAATCAATAAACATGTTTTTACCAGATTTTGATATTGGATCCTAGCACTAAAAGTAGCAATGGAAAAGAGATTTTCCAGTCTTAAGACAAAAGGTGGGTACTTTAATTAGCAAATACACCCAGCCAACCGGGGACCCGAGATGTGAGCTACAGAAAGACTACAAGTGACATTAGAGGGCACCATTCCTGTACTTTGTGGAAGCCCAAATATGCACAATTTTAATTTGGACCAGAACCCAATCCCTCCCTTTATCCTCAGGGCTGAGGGTCTTGAAGATTGCCTGCATAGCGGCTCTACAGTCAAAACTGCAGCATGTGTATTGGACAACCTGCTTTCGCTTGGAAATTGGTGGATCTGTAGAGTTTTTCATGCTCATGCTAATTCCCTGAGCCATCAAACATCGCCCACACACCTGCACACACACTGCAGAAGCATAAAAATATCACGTAATTCAGCTCCACAGCATACCTGGAGCTCCAGCATCTCTATATGCCAGACCTTCCCTACTTCCCGTCTCCCCGGGCAGTGCAACTGCAGCAAGTTCGCTGCGCTTTGGCCCTTCCACGGGTACCACGAAGCTTTTTGGAAGGTCTCCACAGAAAGTTGCCGGCTACATGGGCTCCATAACAAACTCCTCATGTTCCTTAATCTCCCAGCTGCTTTCTCACCTTTTCTCTAATAGATGGTGTGCCAGACTGTAATCAGATATTCTAGAAGAAGCTGTTATGGCTTTATCTATATGGGACATAAGCTTTCAAGATTTAACAGAGAAATGTGGAAGAAATGTCAGCTAGCATTAAATGTAGTGAGAAAAAAAAAAAAAAAATCAGGCCTTCTCTTTTTCATAACTGGGAGAGAATATATAAAAATAAAATGCATAAAAGCAGTATTTTACTGCTTAAGACTTGCAAGTTATTTAAAATACCAAATGCTTCCAAATTCAGGATAAATGAATTCTCCAGCTCTCAGTTATGCAGTATATCTAAAGCAGTATTTCTCATAGTGGATTGGCTGACAATCTGTAGGTGTTTTATTAAACAATACCTACATCTTATTTCATATTTAGCAAAAATAAAAAATGCCCCCAAAACACTCAAAGCCCCCGCTACTGCCCCATGTCTTTCTACTAAAAAAACCCCTTCAAATCCACTTTAAACAAGAGATGGTAGTGGTAGTTTTCAATCTGAACCTTAAAGGAAAACAGAAGTCTTAACATTATACATTGGCACAGAATTGTCATAATATTGCTCTTATTTACAATGAAAACTTCTTTCCCACACCCACCCAACATTTTTCTAATCAAATGGTATGAAAATAATTATTCATAAAATCCAACAGTCATAACACCAATCACATATAGGTCTATAGGTCATTATGTCTGAAAGATACATTCATGTTTTGTACAGCATGAAACATACAAAAACTTTTTTAAAAAACTCTTAAGGATGATACAGATCTTCATAACCCAACTTTCCCACACCCACCCAACATTTTTCTAATCAAATGGTATGAAAATAATTATTCATAAAATCCAACAGTCATAACACCAATCACATATAGGTCTATAGGTCATTATGTCTGAAAGATACATTCATGTTTTGTACAGCATGAAACATACAAAAACTTTTTTAAAAAACTCTTAAGGATGATACAGATCTTCATAACCCAAAGTAAAATATTTAGCAGTTTTGCTTTTTTTGGCCATATAAAAATATTTTAAAGGCCATTTATACCACAACAGTAGAAACATTTGAACGAGTGATTTATGGTGCAGAAAGGCTTCAATGCTATTCTCTTTCCCAATCAGTTTTTGGTTACCACTACTCTGGCTTTGGAGAAGCCAAAAAGCCAGTGCAGCGCTGATGGCCAATTATCTAAGAATAGTTACTTTGTTCCAATTTTTTTTTTTCGCAGCGCAACTAGTTAACACACTATAAGTCAGCTTAAGCCAGTGCAGGGGAAGATTTTGAAGAGACCTATTATTCTTGCCTGTGTTTGTAATCAAAACAGTAATGATAGACAACCAATAAATATCCCACACTTAACTGTGGTATAAATGGGTCTTTTGAACTCAAACTGCTTTGGCAACTTTACATAAGAATATTTAAATATGTGACATACCAACACTACATAATGTTGCTATAAACTTCATTTCTGATTTCCCTCAGGAAAAAAGGGCAAATGCTATTTTCATTTACAACTTGACTATGAAGAAAATTTATTTCAATATAACGGATGAATTATTTTAATTTTTATACATTAAGTGCTGAGTTTAGAATAACCTTCCAACTAGCCAGCATCTCAGCTAATAATCTCGTCACATGGAAGTTAAAGCTTATACTTTCCTAAAGAAGAATTTTCTTTTGCTGCAAATGGCTTAAAATAAAACTGAGATTAAAGCTACCTTACTACACTTTTTCAGTTTATCAGATCCAGAGATTCTTGTACGATTCATTTTTCACTGAGGGATAATATTGATTTAAGCATCAGATCTAGAAATATAAGTAACAGGGCTACAGCCAGCTAATATTATTTTGTTTTCTAAAAATATTTAAAACTCTATCTTCCATTTGGCATTGTGGTTCACATTTATTACTAAGTCATAAGCCAGGATTTCACTTTGCCTGAATCCCTTTTCACTTAATAGTTCATAGCTGATCTCTTTCAAATGTCCATAGAACACAGTATATTATATAATATAATTCTTCAATAGTTAAAAATTATTTAGTGTAGAACTCTCCATTTTAATTCTATGCTCTATATAGCTTACAACAAAATTTACTGAATAAACATTTTCAGGAAACCAATACAATAAATTAAAACTTCTAAATAGAGGGCACAAAGTTATGTTGTCACAGGGCAGTCAAAGAAGTGACTGATTTTTTTCTTACAGTATATTACACTGGATACCTTGCTTCTGACTTGGTTTCTCCTATACTGGAAAAATATTAAAAAACTGGGACATTTATGTATCTTTAGAATGAGCTCAGATACTGTATCAGACAGACATTTCTTACAAATCTTCTACCTACTTAAATAAGAAGCAACCCATACCAACTGGAACAATTTTGCACAAGCATAACAGAAGGTGACTGGGGTCATTATGGAATTAAAATAAAGTTCTGAGACAACTTCATAGTGTTCTCCTCCCTTCCCCCTCACCCAAACAATTAAAAAAAAAAAAAAGGCAGACCTGTACGAACACGGCTTGAAATCAACTATGAGGACTTAAAAAGTAATTGGTTAGCAGATAATGGAATTAAATCACATCTGATTGTAAGTTCAACTTAATTATCAATGCTATTAAAGAGTAGTTATGTTCTAATCGAGTAAGACAGCTATTCTCAATAAAAGAATAAAACAAAGTATCAGCTTCTAATGACCTACCAGCATTTCACAGTAAGCTGCTAGTAAGTTACTAGTTGGAAGGAATGTGTCAGATTTTTCACATAATTACAACACAGCAGCATACAATGCTCATTCATTAAGTTGGCTACTGAGAGTAGCACGCAGGTACTTGTATAAGGAAAGAGGGAATGGTATTTCCATGACCCCTTGCAGTAACACATTCCAAGCACCAAGGGCCGTTTTTAAAATCTGAACCCATTAAGATAAATATGACAGGACAATACCACCCCCACAGAATCATGAGTGCCTTTCACTGGATGTACGCTGTAAGTCTCAAGGCACTTAAGGGGTTAAGACATAATGCATGCACTAGCTCCCATCACGTAATCTTAAGTCACACGAATCAGAATACACCAGTGTATGACACACAAGCTGTGTCAAAGAAATGCTGTTTATTTATTTTTTTTTATTTTTATTGTTATTGTTATTATTTTGTACAAGATGCTGGTAAGTGGGCACTATGCAGCTACTGCTGGGTTAACACAGACGCCAGCTTTCCTCTAACAACCAGCTGGTCTCTAGTAAGGGTGTAGGACAAAGTGTGCTGCATCAGTAGGCAGTGTGTATCTATCTAGTATCAGCAATATTGCTAATGATGTAAAAAACAAAACAGTGAGAGTCTGTACATAGTAAATAAACCTAGCACTGGAAAAAGACCATGGCTTAGTGTATTTTTTTCATTTGTTTTTCATTTTAAGAGACATGGGTGTAAAACAGAGTGAAATAATTCCAAGCCTTGTTTGTAGCAATTCAACCAGAAGCGCAGTACATGGCACTACAATGAAATATCGTAGATTACCCTGAACACAGTTAGTTCTTTCAGTTTATGGTTTGTTCTGAGCAAAGCACGAAAATAAAGTCTTCAAACAGATGAAGGTTAGAAGAGTTTCAGAGACTGATTTTGTTTCAACGTAAAGTGCAACAGTGCTGAAGTTTTCAAAGTCCTTTGTCAATTCTTTGCTGTACTTCACTATCATTTCCTGCAAGCAGTATTATGGCACAAAGAATGCTGCCAGTTCATTATAGAGGACCGGATTCCTCAATTGACATCCTAGGTTTTTTGCTTTTTACTTATGCAGTGATGTTTGTAAAGGTTTAATAAATCCTTCTTCGTACACCTTCAAAATAGCTTCACATACAAATCTGTATTGACTCTGAAAAGGAAAGTAGATTCAGTCAGTTGAAAATAAATGTAATTGAACCATGTCATCTGGAGGGAGAAAAGGCCTCTAAGATTTCCCTATCCCATTCTTTTGACAGGCCAAGAACTGTGCTTCAAAGTTAGTTTAGGAAACACAAAACAACAGGAACTTTATATTTAGAACACCTTGTTTCTCAACAGGAGAATGGGATGAATGGCACTTTGAAATATATATACCAAAGTCATACCCACAAAACCAATACTATTATTACAACATCACCTATTTAGTAATTTTCTGCTCTTCATTTCATTGCTGAAGTTTCACTGACCCGATGTTTCCATACACTTGGATTTAGAAGCTATAGTTTCAAAACACTTTTTCACACTTGCATTAAAATTCTGGCATGTTACCAGCACCTCCCTCTCAGAATTCGATAAAAGAGAAAATTGTTTCATGTTTTAAAAAGCCAGAACTCCAGTTTCTTAACATTATATAATGTCTAACTCCTCAATGTATTCAAGTCTAGCACCGGCATACATAGAGGCCACTATTATTTTGTTTTAAACAAATAATAGTTAAAAAACCCAACAGTAATCAAATTAGAATACAATTAAAATAAAATGAAATAAAATCACTGTTTTGTAAAGCACCGCAACTAACACTGAATACTGCATAATGGTGTATATGCTGGTCAGAAAGCCAGCATGCCTGCCTTTTCAGTGTCGTGGAATATCCCTCTCTATGCAGTAACTAGTGATGTCAGATCTTAAACGGGCACAGTAACAGATTTAGGAACAGAATCATCATTTACTGTATTGTTGCATGTATATTAAAATAGTTAAATTAATACATAGTTGTGTAAAATACTTATTTTTCCTCCAGTGCTCCCTGAAGGAGACCCTGAACTGTCCTTATGTAGTACACACAGCAGACACCCATGCATAGGCCATCTTGTGGACACTGAGTGAATCCTTCAGGATACACAAAATCAGGAAGAGAGTGCCAAAGCAGAAATTAGAATAGCTAATGTTTACGAAATCTTAAAAAAAAAAACACTTCAAGTCTTTTATTATTCCTTCTCCCTCTGATGCAGTAAACACATGCGTTTCACCAAAGCTTGAAAATTCTGATTTCTTTAAGAAAAATGAGAAGACCAGAAGATATTTAGCACATGCCATGAAAAAAATATAGTTAAAACCCTTACCACTGCACCTCCTACCTTTACTAATAAAACTCTCTTCCTCTCTATGTATGCCAGAAAGACATGCTATTCATACTGTATAGTCATCACAAACAGCAAGAGCCATCCTTTATTATTTTTCATGTATCATCATCTTCCTCATTCCTGATTAGAGGAACAGCAGCAGGGACATGAAAATTACTACAATGAGTAACTACCTTCAGGTAACTGTGGGAGAGATTTCATACTGGATCCAATGCCTTCAAAATATTTTCTCTTTAAATGCTGTATCATACAAGTAAAACTATACAACTGATTACTGATTCAAAAAAAAAAAAAAACAAACCTGGAACTGGTCAAAGCTTGGAACAACCAAGAGTCCAACCCCTTTTTTTTTTGAAAGGCAACACAACTCAATCTTTTGACCCTTTTTAGGTATTTTCTAAAAATATAAACACAAACTGCAGCACCTAACTGATACAAATAAAAAGTTTCTAAATCTGTTCTAAAACTTTTACAATTCTGAAATACACTACATTAAGGCAACATCACAATTACCCCAAAAAACCCCAAACATTATAGATCCAGGAAAAATTCTAGCATCTTAAGATATATCAAATGTGAAAAGAGCACCATAAGACTCCTGGTAGCAAGTTACTTTTTTTAGACTAAATACGCTTAAAATTACTTTGATGTATCTTGCATCAGATTTTTAAAAATATTATTTCTCTGATTATTTCCCTTTAATTGAGTCACTACAGGGCAGAGTTAAGGCTTGTTTTCATTATAACTAAAGCAACATAAAATCACTGAATTGCATCACTGAAGGTTTTTCTTGCATGTCTTGGATCTTTCTGTGTTTACCTTTTATACTACTCCCATTCTTAACACCTGGAATCAGGCTCCCGCTTTCTCCACTGAGTAATTTGTACGCTACTGAAAATTGGCCCTATTTGACATTAATTGCCAGGTATACCTGAAACAGATGCTGCTTTTTTCAAGTTTTCTTTGTAGAAATTTACAGAATTACTCCTTTCCAATAGCCTTAGCAATTTATTCCTGCCTGGAGTCAAGGCTACAGCTACACTACAAAGGGTAAAAGTGACCTCTTTACAATATGATCAACAGCAAGTATGTTAAAAATCCGTCTAATGATGTGACTAGATAATAGGAAATTGTTCTTCTGCAATATAGAACAGCAAGTATGATACTCACAGGTGTTTGGATCATCATGGCTCTTTGATCTCTCATGGTTCTTACAATATCTAACGGATAAACAGGCTGATTGCACTCAATGAGACACATAGCTGTCTCCATAGTGATAAGAACTCCTGTCCGTCCAATCCCAGCACTGAAAAAAACAACAAAAACCCAAAATGGAAAATGAAACAAAGTGTCTGGAATATAGTTCATACTTAAAGACCTTCCTTCTCAAGGATTCTCATGATTGATCATTATGATTCCCATACTGTTGGGGCAGGGGCTAGACAGATTATGTCTGTGTCTCTGGAAGCCTCCATCCTGTCTGAACAGAGCAAAAAACAATCAGTGTAGAATTGTCAATCCTTTCAAGAGGGACTGTCTTAACCCAGCCATTCACTTGAGCCAAATTTACAAACAGATATTTATCCAGATCATATTATAAACCATACTAACATCTAGATGATAACAAAACACAGAGATACCTAGCATACACTGTGCACTTTGTGTCAGTTTGACCATTACTGGAATGACCATTACTGGAATGTTGGGCTGATTTGATAAAACCATGTTTATGTTCTTTAAGTGATCCATACCTTCATATTTCAGGATAAGGAATAGAATTACTAGAAACCTTTGGAAGATGACAATAATGATAATTTTCTTAGTATTAAAAAGTACAAGAGAGATCTAACTTGTGTAGATTGAAAAGGAATACATGCTAGCAATCCCTTTCGAGACAAGGAGGAACCGTAACATATACATCTTGGAATGGCAAAATTGTTAAGAGAGCTTACATGAATCATTTTTAGCTTAAAAATAAATCTAAAGATTTATCTGCATTGTTCTACATACACATGCACTTTTCCACAAGTAGCAATCCTCAAAGACTGAATATTTAACCTTGAACTTGCTAATCAGTTTCAAATTCAAATTTTTCATATTCAAGAAAATTATGTTGCACTTTTGAAATAGAAAACCAATGTTTTTCCATATTTGAATACAGGACCAAATCCATATTTTCAAATGCCAGCATTATCTCAAATCATACAACTAGTATTTCAGTCAATAAATGAAAGTGCTTGCTTCTAAACTATTTAATATAAACATTCCAAAACTTTGAAACTTAATTGTTCTGATTTTGAAGCATAACTTCAAATTAAGTCTGCCCGAACTACTACTTTAAATCTTTGCCCAGAAGGTGGCATTAAAGCTACTATATATTTCAGTGATGTCATGAGAATTTTATGACAAGATGTGAATGTGCTGGTTATATAAAATTATTCAATAGCATTTTATATTTCTAGAATTTATACATATAGAATTTATATGCAGAAGGCTTTATCAAATCCAAACAGGAACAGTATCCGTCAAAGAACCTAATGATTCATTTTACAACTTCAAAAGATTCAGAGAAGGGCAACAATGACGGAAAGTATGATAGTTTCCATATGATAAATATCAGGTAGGCCGTGACTCTTCAGCTTGGGAAAAGAAATCATTGACTGATGGAGGGGAACACTGAGACAGGACATGAAAATCATGAAGGGTATGGACAGGATGGGTGGCTTACAATCTCATCTAGAACACGATTTAGAAACTGTTCAACTAAACTAGTAGGAGCCTTGTAAAAATAAAAACAAAACACATGAACGCAAGCTTGGAAACTAGTGTTTTAAGTAGTTCAACATAACAAAAACCTTTCCCATTTCTTAAGGTTTTTGTTGCTTTACGTGCTGGTTTTTTGGCTTTGTTTTTAAACTACTATTGTACAAAAGAAAGGTCTGCTCTACCAGCTACTTGGATTCCCCACACTAAAGCTGATAGCTTAGTTCTGAAAACGTTTCACCATTTTGTTGCACTAATGCCTTGTCCTACTATACCGAACAGATGTTTAAAATAGTGTGCACGCACCATATGGAGGAACCCCTGGGCTCCTTCAGCTTGACTCACTAGTGGGATTTGGTTATACTTCCCAACAGCCACCAAGTTAGGCCAATTAAGTAAATTATGTTGAACTGTGATATTCCCTCTCTTTTCTTCTGTGAAACATAAAACTGTTATAGATGTTGTAACTGAAATTATCAGTGTGGAGTTGAATTGATGCCCCATTGAGATGAATGAAACCGTTCATACTCTCCAATGTTGTTGTTCCAGTGTCTCTGCAGACTTGCACACTTTGTATTGTAAAAGTTGTATTTGGCTGATATTTTTACTGTTTGTTCACATCAACCAAAAGTATATCAATAATGGAAGTAGAGTATCATTTAAGACAGTGGCATCCTGGTACTGGTTTCCCTGGTTAATAAGGTTCACCCTGACCAGCATAAAGCAGAAGAGAGAGCAAAACCAATTAAATACAATTTCTGATACACAAAGTATTAAAAAGAGAAAGCATTTTTCTTTCATCTTCTTCAATAAATGTCTAGTTTACTTGTAGATTAGATAGTCTTTAAATTGATTTCTCCCCCAAAGCTCTCAGCTTCTCTCTGAAACAGGAACGATGCATACCTGACTCAGGAACACTGACTGACTGGGAAGTAGTTGGGAATTTAGGGGTCAAATTTTATTCACAGAACTGCACACCAAGAATTGGTATAGCACATGTTCATTTGAAGACATTTGGCATTGTGCATTATTATAATTTACTAATTAGGTATTTTAAAGGATTAAGATTTTGGAATTTACTATAGGAATGTAGAATGCTATGAAAAACTATTGCACAAGAAAAACAAAAAAAACATATTTCATGTGTACATAAAGATCTGAGTAACAGAGTTATTCTAATTCATGACAAAAGTAAATTGTTGAGAAAAATGTGTCATCTTAATGTATGTATGAAAATATCATGTAGCCTAAGACTGCAGACTTGAGAGAAAGTGTCTTTTATTTGATCATTGCATATACCACCCATGTTTTCTGCTATAAATTACTTCTACAGCTATTCTCGAGTTTTGTGGAATAGTCACCAAGAGGAAAAGGTTCCTAAGTATCTTTTGCCATTTCCCTGAATTATTACATAGGCTGTTAGCACAAGCATTTAAACTGTAAACAAAACAAAACATCAAAACCAACAAAATCCCTGCACAGATCAATGCATGTAAATACTCAAAAATTTGCTTACTGAAACGTGATTACAATTTTAAATAATTGTTTAATTTAAATGTTGAGTTCTCCTGTCATCCCTAAAGCAAATACAATTAAATGTTTATTTCAGCAACAAAGCACAGAAAAGCTATTCGATGACAAATAAGTTCAGTTTGATGATTTAATAAAGTTGGAAAAACATGGATACCTGCAATGAACAACAACAGGTTCTTCTCTGCCAGCTCTCTTCTTTCGCACAAGACACACAAAATCTAGGAAATCGCTGGAATCATCAGGAACTCCATGATCAGGCCATGCTATATACTGGATTTGGGTTAGTTGGCGGCTTTCCTCTTTCTAATCAGAAACATGAAGTTTATTCAAGGATAATTCAGGTCCCATTAAAAAAAAAAAGCCAATAATAAAAAGGAAAAAAAAAAAAATCAATGGTACATTTACAGCAACTTGTACCCGTAATAATAGGGTAACTAGAAGCACTTTATTAGTGTTAATCAATGCTCATCCTGGATTTTATAATTACATTTTTTTTCTTAAAAACAAAAAAGGCAATCCACAAATGTTTACACTTTCAACAGCTTAAAAAAATTAGACGCCATGTAATAGCAAAGCAATTCAAGGATACCAATGATCTATCTGAACACTACATGTACAAGAAAGTGGTCAAATTTTTAGCAAAACAAATTTAACAGAAAGAGGTACTATCTTAATAGATCAAATGCCAGAACTAAGGGTAGGGAGGGGAGAGGCCAGATTTTCAGACATAAAAGCTTTCCTTCAGACCCCGTGCGAACAGCAGCATTGTTTTGGCTTTATCTGCACCTCTTAGTTTTATCCAGCGTACTATACATAAGATGCAGAATGCCTTTGTTTTCAACTCCCTCCTGCCCCTTGCTCTAATATCACAAACATAATCTGCCTCTGTTTAGTGGAGGGGACAGATCATACAATCAGTGTAAAAGCAGCATTTCAAAGAACAGGAGTTACTGCACTTTAAATAACCTTAATGGCACGGAACCATTTACAGGGGTTCCACTGCTTATAACAAATGAGCAATTGTCTCAACAGGACACAAGGAAGGAATTTTAACTGCAAATTGACTAAAAGGCAGCTCTAAAAGCTGGCATCTCACCTGGTAACCCAAGCAGTGAGAAATCAGTACGTGAACTAATTTCCAGATACTCATTTCCAAACATTTCTGAGATTGAAATGCTAGCTGGGGAGGCTCTAAAAACTACACATGCCCTGAAAATCATGCAATGCATGTTTAAGAAGGTCCTTGTTTACACATAGTCACCAATTCCAATTCATCTCTCAGCAGGATTTATCTTCCATCTACTTGCACATATTCTCCAAGATGGAATTATTAAGAACTGTTTGCCTCTACAAAGACAGATTTTCACTTGCAATAATGAAATACTCTAGTGTCTCATGTTTTGAAAACATCAAGGGAATAACAAGTTTCCCAACTTCTTTAATTACTCTTTTTCTTTGGCCAGGGCACGAAAGACAGTAAAGACTTTTAAGACAAATAATACATCTTTGATGTTATTTAAAACCAATTAATGTGATTATGGAAACCGAATCTTTGTGATATTTTGCTGGTGAAAGGTTTGTTATCATTCTAAGAGCAGAATTTATACTAGGTAAGTACATGGCAATATGAGTAGTTTTTTAAAGGCTTCTAGAAATAAACAGTTCTATTTATGTGGATATGCAACCAAGTTGAAAAGAAAGTCTGATTAAGTAAGTTTAGCTAGTCTGTGAGGATTTCACAGATTAATACTTAAAAATATGTATTATAATTTTACCTCCAGATTAGTCAATGTCATTTCTCGAAAGACATAAGCAGGATTTCCTTCTTCTGAATGGCAGGTAATCTGGAAATTCCCATATGATGAGCTTCCTGATGGCTCTGGCCAGTACTGATGGCATTTAACCTAAAGTCAACACATTTTTAAAGATGCCCATGTTCAAATTCAGAGTATTATTTTCATTCTCTCTAGTTCCTTATACCTTTGTTCATTAATGACTATTTTGATCACTTTGTAATCACTATTAATTTACTTACCAAATAGACTGTGTTATCTTATTATTGTTTATAAAACAAGGTATCGCAGAGATTTCCTGGTTCTCTCTTGAAGAGAGCTCTTGAGGTTAGTTTAGCTGAAGATGGATGCCTTTAACTTTCATTACAATTTTTAAAAAAGTATATCTATAACTATTCCATCTTAACACTTGAGTGACAAAAATGCTGCTTTATAAACATTTCTGACCTCCAAAATCCTAATCTAAACTTCTCAAAGGACATTTATATGGGAAAAGAACAAATGAAAAAAAAAAGTGTTAAGCAACAAAAAAGTTGCTAAACTAATGCAGAAATTAGGCGGATGCAGATGGTGGACTTAAAAGACTCTTGACCAAGTAATCAAATGTGAATGAAAACATCAAACACTAAAATTTTCAGATATATTGCCTAATTACAGAGGTCATTTCAGCTCAAGTGTACTTTTGTTTTTCCAACCCACCTGGCGATTCTTTAAGAGCAGCCAGATTTGCAGACTTCCTGCTCCACTGAGACATTCCGGCATGCAGTGGGATAGTGATGTCAGTAGCCTCATGATCAGCTTTAGAGCAGGGAGTCTGCCTATGGGTATAAGACAGATAAGTCCTTTTATTTCATTATTAAGCAGCTCTCCAAAGAACTCCACAAATATCATTACTGAAGGGGTGGGGGAACCTCAGAGAACTGCTATTGCAAGTCTGTTCTTAGCAGATCTGCAAAGAAAACTCAAATTAAAAGGGCACTTGTACTGAAATTCCCTCTAATCATGTTTATTTGGGAGCAGGCAGCACCATGCTAACACTGAGTCACTGAAAAATGGTTTAAAAAAGCTGCAACTCTCCTTCAATTATTTTAATTATATTTAGAGGCCTGGCCTCCCAGGTCAGGTTATTATGGTTATTAAAAAGTTAGAATATTTACAGACAGTTGAACTACAGTCCAAGTTGATCAGAACACCCACAACCTACTATAAATCCATCTTCAAAAGAAATCCTGAATGTGGAGAAATTCCACTAAACTATTATTCCAGACTGTCATTTCTGTCCACACACTCAACCAGCCAGTGCTACTGTGAATGCTCCAGACTCTGGAATAACTCTGGAATTACACCGGGTGTATGACCAGATTTGATTGTTTTGCCTGTCTCCAAAGGACAAAGCTGCATTACAAATAAAGCTATTCAGGAATAACTATAGGTTAAAAAAAAAAAACAAACAACAAACAAACCCAAAAACACCACCCACCCCACCCCCCAAAAAAAAACCCACCACAAAAAACTACCCACAAACCAAAACCAAATCAACCACAAAATACACCTGAGGCCTTTTACACGACCATACACAATTATTTTTACTAATTTATAACGCTAATTACTTTATTACTAGTACTACTCTATTTTTACACATTTTTTTCTGGAAATGACTTAAAGGCCAATGATTCTTTCACATGATTAAACAAATATTTATAACCACAGAAGAACATTTTATGTAAAATTTTAGATTTCAAGCTTATCAAGGATTCTCTTAAAGACAGTCATCCAGGCATGGGATCTTAATGCTACAAAGCTGCCTTAAAAAATTAATCTCTCTACATATCTAAAAACTAATCTGCAAAAACTGACAAAACTTCTTGGAGTTCCTTCACTTGAAGTTTAGAGAAAAAAAATCCTATGAAGGTAAATTCTCGTTGCTTTTTACTTTACAATAAAGAATCAAACAAAGAAGCCTAAAAATATTTTAAGAAATACGTGAAGACTTCAATGTATTTCAGAACCGAACAAAGTTTAAATTTTAGCTACGTTAACACTATCAGAAGGTTTAAAATGTAAGAGTCATCATTGCAACAGTATTAGGAATGCACTGCCCTTATGAAAAAAAGTCATAGAATCACAGAATAGTTTGGGTTGGAAGGGACTTTAAAGGTCATCTAGTCCAAACTCCCTGCAATGAGCAGGGACATCTTCAACTAGATCAGGTTGCTCAAAGCCCCATCCAACCTGACCTTGAATGTTTCCAGGGATGGGGCATCTACCACCTCTTTGGGCAACCTGTTCCAGTGTTTCACCACCCTCACTGTAAAAAATTTCTTCCTTAGATCTAGTCTAAATCTACCATCTTTTAGTTTAAAACCATTACCCCTTGTCATATTATATGTCATAATAGTATATTCCTCTAATCCTTTAAAGGCTAATCACCAACAGATTTTTAGAAGATTATACAAGTAGTGCTTAAGGAAATCTTTTACTTACTCTGCCCCGTTCAACTTGAGTCGTTAACATTACAACCATAGATGAGCCTTGTTCCCAAGTCATCTGCCAAAAGTCAGGACAAGTGTTCGGTAATGGACCTTGACAAGCAATGTACTGGTTTATTATTGTGGAAGAAGGGATTTCCATCTAAGAGAAGACAAAGTCATTATTTTAAGTCTTACAGCAAATATAAGTCAGGCATCAGATATTTATTGTTTAGTAACTAATACATTAAAAAAGCATCAATATATTAATTCTATTTATTGTAAGTTAGCAAATACGGATTGGCATGGATAAAAATTCTTCAAAGTGTTCCATATGTAAAATCATTACAAAGATCCAAGTACATTTCACATATTAACTGACAGTTATGTAGTTGCCACAATCAAGATTAATGGTCGAAAAAAGAAATGATAGACCAGTTGGCAAATAATTCAGATGCAAACATTTCATGCTCTGTGGGTTTCTGACACTAGCTTTTAAAATACTGATCCTGGAATTTAATTTGATCTCTATCTTTTGTTCTTGAAAGGAAAAATAAGTAGCTGTAATTTTGTTGTTACTGACAATGAAGGGGGGGGGG